CGAGTTGGAGAGGCTCTTGCTGACGCTTCTGAGCTTGAGCTGTTTGCCTTTCACTATGCTGAAGAGTTTCACCAGCTCACTGGGGTGCTGCCTGCTCCTAATCTGCTCATGCCTGTTTCGGCTCTTCTTCCTTCCCTTAGGATGCTTCACTATTGCATCACCCGGGTCTTTGTTCCTCATGTTGATTCCTTGGATCTTGTTCTCCCGGTGGATCTTTGGATTATCTCACATGCGGTCCATGGGGTGCCTATTGACTATGCTCATCTTGCTTTCGGCACCCTTATGCGTTTCAGTGATGCTTCCCTTGAGGGTCATCTTGCTTTTGGCCCCCTGGTCACGTCCTTGCTTCTTGAGCTGCATCTCAATCTTTCTCCGTTTCTCACCATCTCGCCCTCTCTATACCCTCTGGCCAACCTCATTCTGGATGCTCTGGAGATTGCCGTTGAAGGGGAAAATGCTGCTGAAGGGGAGGATGGTGTTATCTAGGTGAGTAGCAGTGACGATGACAGCAGCAGCAGTTCTGATGAAGGACCTGCACTGGAGCCATTTGTTGAAGCTCTCTAGGCCTTGCTGGAATATGGTTCTGATGATGTCAGCAATGGAGCTTAAGGGGATCTCCCCTCTATTTGTTTCGCTGCGTGCTTTTATTTAAGGGGAGCATAAGAGGTTTTGGTTGTTTAAGAGTCTGGACTTGTCTTTGCTATTTTTTTCTGACTGGTTTACTTGGATGTTGGATGATGCCTTCTTGTGGCTTTGATGTGATTGGATATCGGTTGGTTTTGATCCTTTTGATTATGATTGAATGCTTTATATTTCTGGCCGAGAGAAGGTGTGTTCTTTTTGCAGGCAATCGACAATCTCTGATTTAAGGGGAGATTGTTAACCGAAATTACCAAATCAGAGTTGCTCTAAAGAAGGAAGGAAGACAACCAGAGACAGCTCAGAGTTTCCTTATGATCCTTCCTCTGCATTCAAAAGCAACGGTAGGGAATTGTCTGGAGGCTATATATACCGAAGCTCTTCGACTAGCTAAAGTACTTTTTGTAAGGGTGGAACAGGGCTGCTTATAATCTGGGTTAATCAGAATAGAGGAATAGGTTCTGGAATTGGGCTCCGAGTTGAATACTCTCTCTTTGTTCCTTGTGTTGTCTTGAGCCACGATTGGTGACAGTTTGCTTGATAGGAAAATCGAATAAAAAGAGTCTCCTAGACATCAGTGAAGTACTGAGTCTAGGACGAGGAGTGACCAGTAGATTGGGAACCTCGTTAAAATTGTATGTGTCAGTTTTAGTTCCTTGCTGCATTTCGTTTTTGTTTGTTTTGTTCTTCCCCTGTTCTGGTTAGTTCCCCTGCATCTGGGAATCTTCTTCTCAAGGAAGAAGACGTCTTTCAGAGATTAGTGGGTGGGCCTAACGAGTCTGGGCCTAAGTGTTTAGTAGTCTTTTATTTATTTCTTCTTAGTGGGCCGTCAACTGGAACCTAGGCCCAGTTCTTGAATAGCGGAATCTCATTCTAAGAGACAGATCAAAGATCTGTCTTCCCATTTCCCATGTTCTTTCTTTCTGTTTTCTTCTCATTCTTCGAACCCTAGTTTTTCTTCTTCTTTTCTTCCTTTTTCAATTTATTGTAATGCCAACTATGTTTGATATTAGTATGGAGGAGTATCTTCCAAATACTGTAAAGTTGTTAGCTGAATTAGCTAAAAATATTTCTTTCCCGAAGAAATGAGCAAGTAAAAGGTTGATCTAGAATATATCATTCCGTATATATTTTTTCAATGTTTACATGATTTTTCCTTACAACATAAAAGATATAAATTTTCCTTTAGTATTTGTGTCTGACTGTTTAGTATTTGTGTCTGACTGATTAAGTATATGCTCTTTGTAGTGAGAACTTATTTTTCGAGATGATTAAGAAGAAAATGATCCTCTAATGCAGAAACTGCTAGGATAAGATGATAGCTCACAATGTACTCAAAACATGTTGGTTTACTCATAATTTGTGTATTGATAGATAATACGCTATTTTTTTTTAGAATTCCTTGGATTATTCGAATAACTTGCTTTCAACAATTTTAATGATAGGTTACCACTATTCACTCTGCGAGCTAAATGATAAAGTAGAGTGCTTTATTATGAAGCTGAAATAAAAAAAAAATGAAGGTAATTGCTTTCAATGCTGCAATACGTCTACTTTGAGAATATAATTTAGATTTTATCGTATGCAATTGGTTTCCCTTTCTTTCTTTGTTTAAACAATCTTTTTCAGTTACTTAGTTAGTAAAAGGCTAAATTATACGGTTGGTCACTCGAATTACATAAATCTTTCACTTTTGTCATCCGAATTATTTTTCTTTTTTATTAACTACTAACTTTACGATTCTTTTCACCGTTAGTCTCCATTAACCCCGTCAGATTTTTGATGACGTGGCAAATAGAACTGCTGACTGGACCATTAATAATTGACTTGTCAATTTTTTTTTAAACAAAGAAATGTTACACCTCATTCTCTCCTCAATAAAACTTTTAAAATAAATAAATAAACATTAAAAAATGACATGTCAGATTTTTTATTACGTCCGATCTTCAACTCTCCGCTATCGTGGAGCTCCCTAATCTCGTGCAGTTCGACGATACACCAACTGCTGATGAGGACCACCGGCTGCGGCGTCACCTTCCTGGCAATTCCCAGGACCTAGAGCTCATCATTCCAATTTCATCTTGCATTTTTTCACAAACCCGACCCGTTCTCATCTTCCAAGCCCGAATGGTTCTCCCCGCAGCTCATCGCAATAGGACCTTTTCACCATTCCCTGAACGCACTCATGTTGATGAAGACTTTTATGCTCAGTGCAACCATTGTGGAAGACTGCAAGCTCTGGCGCCGGAAATTCGAGCTTGCTACGGCAAGCACTTGGACGTCACCGCGACATCCTCGCTTGGATCATGTGCATCAATGGGCCCTTCCTGATCAAACTTCCTCACCAACGACGGAAACATTTTGAACTTCAGCAGTTCTTCCGCCACCAATCGTCGCCGCGTGCTGCTGGACTCATCGGAGATGGGTAAGATCGAGATCTCTGTTTTGGTTGATATAAATAATGGAGTTGGAGAATCAAATCCCCATTTTGTTGAGGTGGATCGAATCCCGATTCATTTGCTGCGACAAATCTAGAGCTTGGAATAAGATGAGGAGGAGGTTTCAACCTAGCACGCGGCCATTTATTCAAAATTGAAACCGAAAAAGAGCTTCCAATGATCTCGAACTTACAAATCCCCAGCCTCTCTTGGTGAACTCCTGCCCAACGATCGTGAACTGGCAATTAGCTCTCGACAAGAAGAGCTTCAAGGACTTAATAGAGTTTTCAGCGAGTTGACGGGAGTTCCTGGGAACTGCCGCGACGGTGATATTGCAAGTGATCCTCATCGGTGGGAGGTGTATCGTCAGACTGGAAAATATTTACTTATTATTTATCTTTATTTGAGGAGAGAATGAGGTGTATTATTATATATTTATTTTTAAAATTGACATGTCAATAAATTAATGGTACAGTCAGCAGTTTCGTTTGCCACGTCATCAAAAATCTGACGGTGTTAACGAAGACTAACAGTCGGTGACTAACGGTGAAACGAATCGTAAAATTATTGGCTAATAAGAATGAAAAGTAATTCTTAATCAAACATAAGTACAAACGAAGCATTTTGCATAATAAGAGGAGTAAAAAAATCATCGGTCGACCTCATTACATCATCGGTCGACCTCATTTAATCAAACACAAGCTAAACCGAAGCATTTGCAGAACATTTCGAGTCAAAAAAATCATAGGTCCACCTCATTATATCATCGGTCGACCTGTTATGACAAGAAACCTGCAAATTTTGGGGGTTTCAACAAAAAATGTAACAAATGCTCTGATGGTAAACAGATCCGGTCGACCATGAAAAAGAGGATGTCCACCAATTCTGGCAAACAGAATTGAGAAATCCGATTTTTTCAGCTTAGGGTTTTGTAAAACCAATCTAATCTACCAATAAAAAACAGAAAAATCGACCCAAATGAAAGGACGAATAAAATACACACCTTATTCTTCTTATTATCATATGAGGATGAAATAGAATGGAGGTTTTGGTGCTTCTCCTAAGAGATTTTTGTGGAAGAAGAAGAAGAAGAAGGGAAAGGAGAGAATGAAGAAAGAGGTTCTGGTTGTGGTAGAGAATGAGTGGAGTAGGCTGTTAAATATGGGAGGATAGGGTTTGGGCGGATTTTGTCATACGAACTGGTCTGGTCAGGCGAATAAAAAATCGGTCTACCTCGCCTAACACACGGTCCACCTCATCTGGTCTGGTCGACCTGTTCTTATATCAGGTCGATCGTATTTTCTTTATTTGTTAATTTCAACCAACAATCAACTAACGCATATATTATGAAGATAATTAAAAAATAAAACGCTGCAATCATAGTTACAAAAAATAAACTCCAAAAAAAATAGAAGAAATTTAAGATCTTTTTGGGACTATTTTTCGGGCACTTAGGGCAAAAATAACCAAATTTCCCACATTTCGAACACTTTTTTATGCTTTTGCCTGATGCACTTCATGCTGACTTGAATGTTTCCTTGGTCTTCCCAATTTTTGGGTCTTTCACACTTAGAAGGGGTGTTGGAGGGTTTGCATGTGCAGTGGTGTCCATTCTCTTCCTCGAGAACTCAATTGCCCATTGTGTAAGGTCATCCAACTCCTTAGAGACATGATTAAAAGCAGCTTCACTACCACACGCGATGTCATACAAACGCTTACACTTTAGAGACAATCCCCCATGTCTTATCAGCCGACCAACTTTCTCTGCCACATCACCTCCAACTCCAAGATTACGAGATAGTCTTTGCATTTTTTATCCATCAAAGCTTGAACCACGTGGAAGGTAGTGCAGTAAATCCCTTATTTTTTATGACTATAAGCATATGTCTGCATGGAAACCCCTTAGATTCAAATAATGCACACTCACATTTTAGATCTTAATTGGTCGTAGTAAATGTTAACCTCATATCCAATTCGGGTTCAAGCAATTCTTCAGAACGAATTCTCTATCCCATCTGATTCAGTTCTTGTCTCCGCTAATACATATGAAGCTTCGTTCTCTAGTTCAAACTTGAAGATAACAAATGTACGATTTGTGTAGATACTTTCAGCTTGTGTTTCTGACTCGCTATGACACAACACCTAACAATGGCCAAGTGTAACCCATGAAAGGGACTGCAGTATAGTGGCTCAAGTAATAAATATCGAATCCACAGGTCTCTAGAGTTACTATTACTCAGCTTCAGTTCATTATTTAGCAAACCAGCTTAATAAGGAAGAACTAAAACTACTCTAGCAAACTACAGTTAAAGTTAATCTAATTACAGGTTGGAAACTCACTTAGGTACGATTCCCCCTAGCCACTAGCCAGATTAATGATTGATGATCTCTAACCTGTTTCACTTTCATTCACAATGCGGAGAATCCTTAACTAGACCTTGAGTCTCGACTAAAGGAACAAGGCCCTCTTGAGTCAATTGCCTAGAGGGACGTATCCTTCTCTAGAACAACCGATCAAGGCGTTCTGAACTAGACTCGCTCTATCGAAAGAGGTTCTCGATCGATACAAAGCAGTGAATCGACCCTCAACTAAAGCAATCGATCCAATACTATCACTCTATAGTGCCTATTGACCTACTCAGGTATTCGCTCTCATAGGATCAAAGCAGAATCAATAATCTCGACTAAAGCAGAATTGAATCATGAAAACATGCATAGATTGAATATGAACTCAAGATTATCAAGTAGGAGTACTCATACAATCATCCAATCAAACAAACATGGCTAGGGTTCCTCAAAACCTAAGTGAAGGGAAGTTACTCCATAGAGAAGAGAGAGACTGCAGAAAGAATCTTTAGATGACCAGTCTTCAAGTCCGGGCTTGTTCCTCGAGCTTCCAAGGTGAAGAAATCCTCCAATTCCACTCTTAGAATGCCCTCAAATCGCCCTCTCTCTCTTTGGTTCATCTCTTGGGTGTTTTGGATCCAAAAACCCAGCTCCCCCTTTCCTTTGGCTCGAAATTGGGTTAAAACCCAGAATTTCCCGACCACACGGCCAGGCCACACGGCCGTGTGGTTTTCCCAGCTTTCCGTGTGAGTTGTGCAAAACGCGGAGTTTTGATAAGTGGACTTCAGCCATCCTACATGGCCACAACCACACGGCCGTGTGGATTTCCAGGCTGCTCGTGTGAGTTCCCTAGAATTTCCACACGGACACATGGGTTCCCTTACACGGCCGTGGGGGTTTTAGGCATGCCCGTGTGACCTCCTCAGCTTCTCGCCAAACGTCCGATCTCTGTCCAATTGACCCCGAACTCATTCCTAAACCTTCATTCACGTAATAGGACCTGAAATATCACAAACAAGACCAACCTAGCGTGAAATCGGCCTAAAACACGAGAATCAACATCTCAAACGGCTCAAGAATAGGGGTAAAAACATGTGTAATCAATGGTCTATGAAACTTCCCCACACATAACCGTTTGCTTGTCCCCAAGCAAACCTAACTCAAACCAATGTAACTCTCCAGACCTCTATAGCAACAAACAACCTCGATCGTCGGTAGAGGATTTTTTAGATCATATAGCAGCTTACGAGGTCAAATGGTCTTCTAAGACTTTCCCTATCTCTCTCAATGCGAGTACTAGACTCAAGCCAGGATCATGAGAAGAAGTAGAAGTAAGACGATCAGTTCATGGATAAAGGGACTCACACCGTTCACAACCAAAGACTCGTGGTACCGGGGTGCTCTTTCACTTCATTTCACCGTTGGAACCCTTTTTTCACTTTCATTTTACTTTTTTTTTCACTTAGCGGGGTTCCCAACTACAGTCTTTTGCACGGTCGACCCTTATTAGTTGTGAGCAATTTCTGTACATCTGGCGCTCGCCAGAGTACTTCTTTTAACTCCTTTTCCTCAACTCGTGTGGAGGGTCAATGAAATTAAGGGGGGTTGGAAGCTCTATCCGTGCCCTTAAAAACACATCCTCAAGTAGGCAAACCGTTCAACTGTTGGAAGTTTTACTTGTACTAGAGACAGCTTAGCTTCACCTTGTAGGAGTACCCCACTAAGGATCACAAAAATCTCTTCCAAACCCCGATTTTGTACAATGAACGGTGCCCCACACGTTGGGCTTACCCCATGTTTAAGATTTAATGATTTCGACATGGAGGACCAACTGCTTTTCATTTTTCACATGAGCACCATGTTCGATACACGATTCCATAACACAATCCAAATAGAGTCACCATTATCACATGAATTCAACGGTCTTAGCTTCACTAATTCACAAAATCAACTAGCACAACAGAGAGCTAGATAGGAAAAATCTTAAACTTCAACATCCTCCATAATGCTACACTACCTCCCTAGGTTGCACATTACTATAGAGACTATCAATTCAAAGCATACTGGGCAGGTCATTTGCAAGGAAATACGTACTTGGAGCCCTCAAATTGAAATTTGGACAGTGGACTAGGCTCCAAGCACACAAACAACCAAACATTCACCCGCATACATAATCGAACATCCCCCCACACTTAAGCACGACATTGTCCTCAATGGAGGAAAGATAAGGAGGGTAGAACGAAGTAACCAGATCAAGGGTGAATGATGGTGGACGGGGCAGGCAGTGCATTCCAGGAGGAGAGAGTAGTCGGAACACAAACACCACACAAAATCTCAAAAAGGTTGAGTTATTGACTCTAAAATCAAAGAACAAAACTGACTCAACCGAGGGGAAATAGAGAAAGAAATGCAAACTGATTGGTTGGGTTGCCTCCCAACAAGCGCTTCTTTAACGTCGTGAGCCGGACGATGGCTCCTAAGTTTCGGTCCACCCCAAAACCTCCTTGATGTTGAGGTTCTCGTCGATGAGGTGGAGTCTCAAGTCACGAACATGTGGTATGACAGGTTATGGAAACTCGTGCACTTGATGCAGATAACGTCTCCACCCTCGAGACCTCTTCTTCTCTTCTCTCGTCTCATTGCCCCAAACCAGATATGACAACATCGATTGACCACCATCGCGTCCACCAAGAGGGACCGATGTCGACGTGGCCTTGGTTTGGCAAAGAAACACTACAAATGGGTCCTTGCTAAGAAGTTCCTTGAAGTTTGGTGGAGATATCACATGTAACTCATGGCCGGTGCAAGCCTCTTCCACCTCAACTTCGTCCTCGGCTTGGACGCCAAATGCTTCTTCAACCTCCCTTTCTTCTTCATGTGGCATCACCCCTGGGAAATGATCAAGAACTCATGCTTCACTTTCGTCATCCTCCACAACTTCTTTCTGCACCCTTTCTCTCTCTTCTTTTTCTAGCACGGATTGGAGAGCAAGTTGCCAAGCAATTTCTTTCATAAGATCTTCATGCATCTCCTCACTCATGCTCGCCTCTTCAAAGCTCGGTGTGGGATGTGGGAAGGTGTGGTCGGCTACGACAGGACATTCCTGATCATGATCATCATGGGAGCTCTCCGTGACAACTTATGTGTGCTCCACAATGTCCTTGTAGCATTCTTCTTCCTCCTCCTCTACTAGTATGGTAGCAGAAGGGTGATCTGGAGCAGGTTGTGCATAAGATCGATCAAGATCATCGACGCTCTTCTTAATGGTCAGGAGGATCTCCTCTTTTCCACGATAGGCCTGGGTACAAAGATCCATCCTGGCCCATGATCTCTCACTTTCTCGAGCAAACTGCTCCATGAGAAGCCTCAATTCATAGTTTGGATCTGGTTTTGGAGTGTAGCATGGCTCTTCAGAATGGCCCGTGAAGGCCGCCATGGGTAACTCCAGCGCTGATGGCCCTTCTGGTTGTGGGAGAAAGTCTTCTTGGTAATGAGGTTGTTCTTTATATGCCCAGGGGTCTGATTGTTCTCCGTAGTAAGGGGGTTGGTATTGGAACCCGAATTCATAGTCTTCTCCTCCTTGATTTCTTCAGGGAGTCTCGGGGTAATACTACTCGGACGGTGGTGGATACCCCCAATGGTTGGAGAAGCCATGAGGATCCATGATTCAGATCTACACCAACAAAAACAAAAACACCCAAGTGAAAAGCAAGGGTGGAAAAGAAAAGAAAAACGGTAAAGTAACAAACTTCTGCCTTTCCTAATAATCTAGAAAGTCCCCGGCAACGGCGCCAAAAACTTGACTCGCTATGACACAACAACTAATAATGGCCTAGTGTAACCAATGAAAGGGACTGCAGTATAGTGGCTCAAGTAATAAATATCGAATCCACGGGTCTCTAGAGTTACTATTACTCAGCTTCAGTTCATTATTTAGCAAACCATATTAATAAGGAAGAACTAAAACTACTCTAGCAAACTACAGTTAAAGTTAATCTAATTACAGGTTGGAAACTCACTTAGGTATGATTCCCCTTAGCAACTAGCCAGATTGATGATTGATGATCTCTAACCTGTTTCACTTTCATTCACAATGCGGAGAATCCTTGACTAGACCTTGAGTCTCAACTAAAGGAACAAGGCCCTCTTGAGCCAATTGCCTAGAGGGACGTATCCTTCTCTAGAACAACCGATCAAGGCGTTCTGAACTAGACTCCCTCTATCGAAAGAGGTTCTCAATCGATACAAAGCAATGAATCGACCCTCGACTAAAGCAATCGATCCAATACTATCAATCTATGGTGCTCTATTCACCTAATCAGGTATTCATTCTCATAGGATCAAAGCAGAATCAATAATCTCGACTAAAGCATAATTGAATCATGAAAACATCCATAGATTGAATATGAACTCAAGATTATCAAGTAGGAGTACTCATACAATCATCCAATCAAACAAACATGGCTAGGGTTCCTCAAAACCTTAGTGAAGGGAAGTTACTCCATAGAGAAGAGAGAGACTGCAGTAAGAATCATTAGATGATCAGTCTTCGAGTCCAGGCCACACGACCGTGTGGCTTTCCACGCTGCCCGTGTGAGTTGTGCAAAACGCGGCGTTTCAATAAGTGGACTTCAGCCATCCTACACGGCCACAACCACACGGCCGTGTAGGATTGGAGTCCAATGGTTATATGACTCGTATCACGAGGTTGATTGGAGTCCACCGAAATAAATATCCTTCAAGCATGCCTCTGCCCAAAGTAATTTGTCAGCGTACAAATCCTACAACCACTTATTTGCAGACAAAGCATGCTCAGTAACCAAACGCTCTCACCGCCTCTCAAACTCCTCACTTGATATACGTGCTTTCGCCAAGTGGGTGAATGTGTTAACGAACTCTCTATTATGAACGGTCGTTGTCTCATTTGTCTCAATATGCCAAATACATAGACGGTGAGGCACCCCAACCAGTATAGTAGCAATGGCGCCACGCATAGACTTGCATCCGTCTGTGATCACTAAAGTCGGCATCTTAGAGTTCATACACTCCAGAAAAGTATTCAATAACCAAACGTAGGTTGTGATTGTTTCTGTAACATCCCGTTTCGGCAAAACTCGTATTACGGTTTCTAGAAATTTTACGATTTAAAATCGAGTGTTTTGATAGTATTTCAACGAAAATCGGATTATCGATCGATCGGATAAGTATAAGTATTAATTAATATATATATATATATATATATTAACACTAATACACGTGTGTCCTGTACACGAAAAGCAATTAACTAATAAAGAGTAAAGCAGTTGAGACCGCTGTATATATATATCTCCACATTAAGTTACGGTTCCTTTTATTCCATTTTCAAACCTCGGACGAAGCAATTGAGGAATAGAGAGGCGAGAGCGCATGGAGGATTCGGAAAGGCCTGTTGAAGACGATTCACAAGTTTAGGTATTACAATAATTTTGTGGTCTTCTCGTAATCCTTCCCTCTTATAGCCGATCAATTTAGAAGCTTATACCATAGTTTGGTACGATAATCTGTTATTTTCTCAACCGAAGGAATTGAGAGGTTTGGACGATCCAGAAGCTAGGTTAAGCCCAAATTTCATATACGAGCTTCCTGCAGCGAGGTAATCAATCCTCTAGTTCTAATCCCTGAATTTCATCAATTATTTAGGCCGGGGTCCAAATCGCTGAATTTAGCTCCGGCCAAGGTTTGATGTGTTTTTATCGAGAATTTGACCCGGAGCCTAGAACTAATATTGACGGGGATACTGCAGGGGATATTAGGACGGTCTTGGATTTTAATTCGGGGTTCGTTCGTGAAATTGACGTTTTAGTACGGGAAGGTTAAACCGGTGTTTGAACGACCAGAACTGGTGAGGGATTAGCACGGCATACCGGGTTTGTCGTATCACGATAATTATATTGATGCTTAGAATTGACCTAGGTGAACTAGAATGGCATGATTAGGGGTGTATGGACTTTTGTGCTTTATGATGAACCCTGGACTGCTGTATGATATTATTGACTTGCCCTAATCGATATGAACCTTGTTTATGTGGATGATTGCATACATGTTGCCATTTGTGACTTAACTGTTGATATGACTTCATGGTTGTTCGATATGGGGTTTTGACATGGTGTGATATTATGGTTGTAGTTGGATCCATAAGTGGGGGAATAAACCTCCCAGGGTGATATTATGAAGTTTAAGGAGGATGACTTGCACGAGAGTTTATCCCGAGGAAGTGCATTTATACGACTCCTGATTTACCTATGTTGAGCCAATTATGGCCAGGTCAAGTACATGTGCAAGTAATGAATTATGATTAAGCAAGATGAGATATGAATCATGTATAAGGATACCAAATATGTGTGTTGTGGTCTCACGGTCAACTACATAGTAATTAGGGCTCCCTATGCTATTACTCTATTATGATATGTATGATAATCACACCTCTCATATGGTGGTGACTGAAGAATTCTTATGAGATATGACCACACCCAGAGCGGTGTCGGGGTATGACTACACCCATAGTGGTGTGGGGTATGTATGACCACATCCGACGGGATGTTGGGGTATGTATGACTACATCCGACGGGATGTGGGGTATGTTTCCCGGGAGAGTTATTAGCATGAGAGTAGCCAGGCGCCGATAAGTAAAACATGATAAGATGCATATGCATAAGTCAAGGTAGTTGAGTCTTTTGCCTATTGGGATATGAGGATGGCTGAGGTCCGATCCTAGTGTTTTGGCTTGATTGTTAGATGTATGATAGGGGTATGCTCTGTTATGAACTCACGATGCTATGATTATCTCACTCAGCCATAAGCTGACCCTCTTTTATTATTCTTCTCTTCTTATGCTATGTGTAAGCATATCATCAGCAGCAGCAATAGATAGGTGTATAGGTGGGAGCTGAGCAAGAGTTGAAGGCAAGATGAGGTATGGTCTTCAACTACTCTGTGCTTGGACTACTACTCGGGTTTTTGGCCAGTGATCCACATCTTTTATTAAAAAAATTTCGAGAACATTTTTCATGTGCATACTAGCTTCTGATGTAGTGTGAGATATCCACAGTTGTGGAAAGTTGATGATATCTGTATATTATTGTAATTATGTAAGTTGTGACGATTATGACTTGTATCAGTATGGTATGCAGTTGTGTAGTATGAAAACTGTGACTTTGGCTATGAAAGCCAATGCTTATGGTTGTGAGTATATATGTTTGTGATGAATTATTTTGCAGGATAAGTTGCAAGAACTGTTATCCCATTACGCGAGTAATTCATGTCGAAATTTTATTTTGGTAAATTTTGATAATTAATGTAACACCAAGATAAATTCTGCTGCAATTGTATGAACAATATGATTAGGCAATACTTACAGGGTAGGGTGTTACAGTTTGGTATCAGAGCCGGTTCCCTCTTTTTGCTGTTGTGGCGTACTATACCCTATGGGAGGTTAAACACTCCTAAGGAGGGGAGTACCCCATAATGACTTAAACTGGGAATTGAGTTGGACATGATTGTGTGTATTGGTATATTGGACGAAATTACCTGCATCATGGTTTTCAAAATTGAGTTTTGAACTTATTTGTTTTCAGGTAATTATTTTGGAAATTTTTTGTTTTAACCAAGTGAGAGATTTGGTGAAGAATGAATTTTGTGTGGATCAATCTAAGGCCAATATTTCCTTGTAGCTCGCTCGGAAGTTGTCATAATGTTCCTACTGACCAGTCGAGAGGAGTGGGGGCGGTTGATGCAAGGCCGCCAGTATTAGATTATGCAAAGATGAAGAGTTTGGGTGGTAGGGACTTTAAAGGAGATGTGAGTCCGGATGCTGTGGTAGAGTGGTTGAGGGAGATGGAAGATGTGTTTGAATATCTTTATGCAACCCCAGAGGAAAAAGTACAATATGTTGTTTTTCTCCTAAAGGGGTACGCGAGGAGCTGGTGGTCCTCAGTCTCTAGAGTTAATGGTGAACGAGTTCAGTTCACCTGGGAGGAGTTCCTGAAGGCCTTTAAGACAGAGTTTCTTCCCGAAGCTTTTATCAGGGCAAAGAACAATGAATTCGCCAACCTTAAGTAGGAGAACATGACAGTTACTGAGTACACCATCAAGTTTGTTCGACTACTTTACTTTGAAGATGGGTTGGCAGATACTGAGCATAAGAAGAAGATGAGATACTTGCATGGTATGCGCATAGGATTTAAAGAAAAGATCCAAAGGGTTGATGAAGAGAGCATGGCCTCTATCAAGGAGGCAGCACTTAAGTATGAAGCCTATGAAGTTGAGGGTAGAGAGGAAAACAAGGCCAAAGAAGAGGAGAAGAAGAGGAAGTTGGGAGTGAGTTATGCTGGACCTCGTTACCCACCCAGGAGAGGTCCTAGCAGTTTTGGGAGAACACCAAGTCAATCTATGTCGGGAACATCATACAGGGCACCAATTTCCGCAGCCACACAATTTCC